AGAATATTCTTGCTGCACAGAGAATAAAACCTCGCCGTTTCAAGGCTTTATAGTTACATGCAGACGTCTTGGTGCTTGGAAAAACATCTGCCTCGAGAGCCACCAAAGTGACAGCCAGTCCAAAATGCCACCGCTGTCCCCCGAGATGGAGGATACATCTTGGGATGCTCAGAAAGGACCAGGAGGCAAAAACCAACCCCCGCAAGCTGACGCTGTCCTCCCCGGTGTCCCCCCACCGCCGGCCATGCCGTTCGGGAACCCAGACGTGCCATTCTGCGCGCGGCTGCAAGCGTCCGTTTTATTCCCGATGGAAGAAAAAAACCATATCGAGCTAATTCTGGAAAATTCACGGGGCTGTTCCGGCCGCTGGAGCGAGCGCTGCGGCACGCTTGCGCCCATCGTCCTGCGACCTCGAGGCGAGGGTGTGAGGGCGCGCCCCGCGGGCTCGGCTGCCGATGAAACAGGTAAATAAAGAGAAATAAAAAATACAAGCGCTTTGCAGAGAGCATCTTCAAAATGTTTTACAGCCACTTATTGATTTATCTTCCCTTTTTCCACCCCACAGAGATAAATATCATGGCCCCTTACAGACTGGGTGCAGTCGTTCTCCTGAAGTTGGGTACCAAGCACGGGTCTGGGCTGGGACGAGCATCCCCAGTTCTTTCTATCTAGGGAAATGACTTAAATAAAATAGATTAAGTAAATAAAATAAATAAATGAAATAAAATAAAATAAATAACATGCTCAGGGCACAGCAGAGCGTGGTCTGCTCTGGTTGGCCCCATTCACTCACCCACTGGGCACCCTAACCCTGATCCTGACCCTAACCTCGACCTTAACCCTAATCCTGACACTAACCCTTATCCTGACCTTGACACTGACCTTAACCTTAACTCTAACCCTAACCCTGACCCTGACCCTGATGCTGACCCTAACCCTAACCCTAACCTTGACCCTGACCCTGGCCCACCCCGCCCGCTCCCCATGCAGGTGAGCCCTGTCCCTCAACCGCCGACAGCCACAGGCTCCCCCGGCACAAGGGCCAGCTGCAGCCACCTCACAGGGACACAGGGCTGCTCCTGCCTGTCCCCTGCCTGTCCCCTGCCTGTCCCCTGCCAAGGTACTTCTGGCAGCTGTGGCAGACCCAGGGACAGGGTTTTTCCCTTCGGCTGCCTTTTTTCTTCCCTTTTTTAAGGAAACCGCATCACCAAAAGCAGGAAAAGCCACCAGGGGCTGGGACCTCCCTCTGCACAGCCCGCAGGGTGGCTGGGGAGATGTCACCCCTGTCCCCCAGTCCTGCGGGACACAGCCCCAGCTCAGCCCCCCGGGCTGGTGGGGGGAGTGCAGCCGCCCCCGCGGCAGCAGGATCTGCTGGGCCGGGTGCTGCTGGGAGGAGTGACACCGGCTGGATGCCACCACTGCCACCGCCACTGCAAACTGTCCCCCACGCCCCCGTCTCCCCCTGAGGGACAACCTCCACATGCAGTGCAGACCCCAGCCCTGGGGCAGCATCCAGCCCGGTGGTCCTCAGCGCTGGACTCGGGGGCGCTGGCACCACAGGGTGATGGTGGCCCACTGGCATTTGGCGACGAGCAGGAGGGGACCCCCCTCAGACCCTGGAGGGTGACGGCACACGTACCCCGGCGAGCCTCTCCCGGGGCAGACAAAACACCAGGTTTCTATTATTATTCCATATTTCCACTTATTATTCCTTATTTCCATTTATCATTCCTCATTTCCATTTATCATTCCTCATTTCCATTTATTAATCCTCATTTCTATGTATTATTCCTTATTTCCATGTATTATTCTTCATTTTATGTATTATTCCTCATTTCCATGTATTATTCCTTATTTCTATTTATTATTCCCTATTTGCTTTTATTATTCCCTGTTTTCCACGTATTATTCCCTATTTCCATCTATTATTCCTTATTTCCAGCTGCTGCTCCGGACTCTGCGGTGGGGAAGAGGGATAAAACATCAGCCCACGCTTGCAACGGGGACCAACAGAGCTGGGCCGAGGAAGAGGATGGTCCCCGAGCTCCCGCTGAGCCCTGCAGAGGCTCCAGCCACCCTGGCCCAGCGCTGAGCAAAGAGGGGTCCGCCTACCCCCCCAGTAAACCCAGCCCGAAGAGCCTGGCAGCACAGGCAGCTCTGCAGGCAGCAGACGTGCCAGGGTACCGACGGAGCCTCCCAGCTGCCCGGCACGGCCCCCCAGGCGCCCGGGCACGAGCCGGCATCGCAGCGAGCCCGTAAGAGGATTAGGGGTTTAGTGTCTGCAAGGCCCGCGACCGCCGTCCCCGCTCCCCAGGCTGCGAGTCGGGCGCTGCAGGGAGCCCGGCGTGGCCCCACGCTCCTGGGGGATGCGGGAAGGAGGATGCTCGCCTTGTCAGCGGCACCATTTTGAAGCCGGGCGTGCGCGCGGTACCCGGCTCACGTCTCCCGCGCGGCGGCGGTGGGACCTGGGGACACCCCTCCCCTGCGACCCCCAGCCGCTTGTGGGAGACGTGTCAAACCTCCTCGGCGCGTCCGCAGAGCAAACCCAGCCCGGCGCAGATGCAAGGAGAAAATCACACACTCTGTCCCCAAAACAGCCTCCTCCTGCCGCTCCCCCAAGGGAGGCAAGTGCCGGTCTCCCAGCGCTCCCGCACTGCATTCCCACACCGCCCTCCCTATACCACGTTCGCTGTACCACGCTCCCGCACCATGTTCTTGCACCGCATTCCTGTACTGCGCTCCCACACCGCGCTGCCAGCACCACGCTCTTGCACCACGTTCCTGCATCGCACTCCTGCACCCTGCTCCGCCACCACATTCCCACACCATGCTCCCACACCGCGTTCCCGCACCGTGTTTCTGCACCACGCTCCCGCACTACGCTCCTGCACCGCGTTCCCACACCGCACTCCTGCACCGGATTCCCACACCGCGCTCCTGCACCAGATTCCTGTACCACATTCCCAAACCGCGTTCCCACGCCGCATTCTTGCACCACGTTCCTGCCACCGCGCTCCCGCACCGTGTTGCTGCATACTGTTCCCGCACTGTGTTCCCGCACTGTGCTCCCGCACCAGATTCCTGCAGCGTGCTCCCAAACCGCGTTCCCACACCGCATTCTTGCACCGCGTTCCCGCACCGTGCTCCCGCACCCTATTCCCGCACCGCGCTCCCCCCCCGCCCCGAGCCGGTGCCCTGCGGCCATCCCAGCCCCGTGCCCATGTGCCGGGGCGTGCGGCAGCACCGCGGCCGAGGCAGGAGCTGCCACCACCGACCGCCTCCAGCCCGGCCAAGGACGCAGAGCCGGTGCGGTGTCCCCCATCGCCGTGGGTGACACGGCGAGGGGGGACACGGGGCAGCAGGCGACAGTCCAAGCCCTCGGGTCCAGGAGGGGATGCTGAGCCCGCCGCCCCGGCTGTGCCGATGCCCCAGCACCACGCTGGGGAGCAAAAAATAAATAAATCCCCCTCCCAGCTGCAAAATCTCCGGGAGTTACACAACCGCCAGCACCAAACCCGGGCCTGGCCACGCATCGGCGCGCAGCGGCATCCCCGCGGGCACGGCCGCTCCACCCGCACCCCGATTCACCCCTGCCTCCCCCCTGCCCCACAGCCAGCCAGGGCCACCCATGGATGCTGGGGGGAGCAGGCCAGTGGGGCACCCCACAGCATCAGGGCTGGGGTGCCTGGACAGCTGGTGTCCCCGCGGCCTGGCCCTGGGACACAGGGAATGGGCAGGGGCAGAGGGGCAGGCAGGGTGCGGGCAGGGGCAGGCAGGGAAGCAGTGGATAAAGGGGGCAGGTGTGGGGCAAGGGCAAGGGGGGCAGTGGGGCAGGGTGAGGGCAGGGGGACAAGCAGGGGTTAACAGGCAGGCAGGGGGCTACAGGCAGGGGAGGAGGCAGGGAATGGGCAGGGAGGGGGCGGGGTGTGGGCACTGGGGCAGTGGGGCAGGCAGGGTGCAGGCAGTGGGGCAGGCAGGCAGGCAGCAGGCCGTGGGGCATGGTGTGGGCAGAGGGGTGGTCAGGGTGCAGGCAGGGAGCAGGCAGGGAGCAGGCAGGATGCAGGCAGCAGGGCAAGGGGCATACAGGGAGCAGGAAGGCTGAGGGCTGGGAGCACAGGCAGTGGGGCAGGCAGGCTGCAGGCTGGCAGTAGGGTGGGCAGAGTGTGGGCAGGAACAGGGGCGACGGGAAGAGGGCAGGGAGCAGGCAGGGCACAGGCAGGGAGCAGGAGCAGTGGGGCTGGCAGGGAGCAGCCAAGGAGGCGGGCAGGGGATGGGCAGGGGGCAGGGGCAGTGGGGCAGGCAGGGCACAGGCAGGGTGCAAGGTGCAGGATCAGGGGTAGTGGGGCAGGCAGGGGACCAGGGAGCAGTCAGGGGCCGTGGGGTGGCAGGGCACAGGCAGGGAGCAGGCAGGGTGTGGGATCAGGGGCAGTGGGGCAGGCAGGGCTCAGGCAAGGGAGCAGGCAGGGTGTGGGATCAGGGGCAGTGGGGCAGGCAGGGCTCAGGCAAGGGAGCAGGCAGGGAGCAGGGGCAGTGGGGCACGCAGGGAGTGGGGATGGTGGAGTGGCAGTGGGGCAGCGGGATGCTGGTGGGGTGCAGGATCAGGGGAGTGGGGCAGGCAGGGAGCAGGCAGGACGCAGGTAGAGTGTGGGATGCGGGCAGAGGGGCAGGCAGGGGGCGGACAGGGAGCAGGGGCAGCAGGGCAGGCAGGACCCTCGGAGGGTGCAGGCTGAGGGCAGCGGGGCAGGCAGGGAGCAGGTAGGGCACAGGACTGGGGCTGTGGGGCAGGCAGGATGCTGGCAAGGTGCTGGAGCAGGGGAGTGGGGCAGGCAGGGAGCAGGCAGGATGCAGGCAGGGTGTGGGATGGGGGCAGAGGGGCAGGCAGGGGGCAGACAGGGAGCAGGGGCAGTGAGGCCGGCAGGGAGCAGGCAGGATGCAGGCAGGGCGCTGGATCGGGGCGGTGGGGCGGGCAGGGCGCGGGCAGGGCCCGTCCCCATCCCTACCTGCCCACGGTCTGGTTGGCGAGCTGGCGCATGCGGTTGAATTGCTTCTTCATGGTGGCGGCGGCGCGGGCGCCCCTTACGCGGGCAGGGCGGGCAGGGCGGGCGGGCAGCGGGGG